ACAGAAGATTTGCTACACATATGTACAAATGTCCGCAGGAAGATGCCCCCAATGAATCCCCATTCGATCACAAATGGCGGCTAGTGGCTGTTGGCGCAAAAACTAATTACAAAATCAAAACTTATAATGAGCGAGGCAAATTAGAAATTTCTCGATTGGCCCCCGAATACAAATGGGAAATCAGGTAAAAGGGCACAGCCATTTTGGGTTTTAATTAAATCCTGTTATTCCAGTGCGGCTCTCGACGGGGCATGCCACGGCCACTGACTGACTGGCTCTTGAGTGCGTGGTGCATACAGACCCAACCCGGCCCTCCCATCATATTCAAAATGAGTTTTTGGCTGCGTTCGGTTTTTGGCTTGTTGGCTTTTTGGCCAAAATTCTGCACTTTACGCTGCTGGCGAGCCACTCGAACAACATATTTTTGGCCCCACTCTGACCGTTGTTTCCCGAGGCAGCTGAAAATTAATTTTAATTTTCAAAAATAATTTAAAAACCTAAACACAGATTCCATCTCTCTTTCGGTTCGCACTCTGCAGGTTGGGATGGTCTCTGCTCCTGTCATTGTTTTAATTGGAAATTTATTTGGTTATGTTCGCGGCACTAATAACTGCGTTTTTAATTGCATATTGCCAGCAGGGGAGCTGAAGACCCGGGGTACCACTTGGAGTAGCTGCAAAGGTTAGATTAGTTTAGATTTTAATTAAAATTGTAGCATTGGGCATGCAGATTTCAAGCACTTGCGGCATTATGAGTGCTGTCATTGCCCAAGTGCTGGCTGGCATTTCCTGAAAGGCTTCCTATCTCTATGATGAGGCCAAAACTTTCACTAAACAGAAGCCATGGGAGCTGAACAATAGACTCTCTATTGCACCATTTAAGACTTTTTTCCAGCAGAAATACTATTGCTCCTCAGAAATCATTTTTCGGTTCGCGATTCCCAGTAATCCAGTAGTGTTTCGGTTGAGCCACCATTTAGAGCAGTGAAAAGGGAAAGGACATGCTATCCACCCACACACACAGCAGCAGGAGACATACCATTTAGCCTCCCCCCGCTCCAAACAAGGAATCAGCGCCATGACAGGCAGCGTATGGAGCGGAATGGGGGGGGGGGGGGGGGGGGGGGGGTCACAAAAATCATCCCCCTTCGCGAGGTCGTACCGTACTCTCGCTGTCCCGCTCTCACTGTGTGTCTCTCTCTGTCTTGCTCTGCTCATAAAGCTTTGGAAATTATGGAAATTAATTGAAATTCCAAGGATGCTGCTGCTGCTGCTGCTGCTGCTGCTCTTTTGCCAAAACCAACAAATTACCGTCATTATGCGTGTGTGGTGGCCACCCACCATACCTCTATACATACATACCTCTATATCTCTCTCTTTCTTCGTATCCCTGTCTCTTTTGCGTACCGCAGAGGTCCGCTTGCCGACCGCCGACCTTTCCAAAAGTCAAATGGAGCCACGCACCGCTTTGACTTTGTCTAATTTTAGGCACTGCGGTTGACCATCTCCCTCTCTCTCTCTCTCTCTCTCTCTCCCTCTTATTCTGTGTATACTGTTCATTGGTATTTAATTAAGCTAATTAATTATCGCAGTAATTACGAAATTTACAATAACAAATGCAAGCATATTTTTTTTGTTTTTTTGCAGCTGCTTTTGATTGACTTCCAACGCACTTTACTTTGCTTCACTTTCCTCTCTGGCCTCAGCCCACAGCATATGCGTTGGATAAGCATATTTCGGCATTTTGAGCAGCAGCAACAACAACCACCTCAGTTACAACAAAAAAGAGTCATATTAAAAATCATTCGCTTGTGAAGATCAAAAGCATTCTTTTTCACCGAAATGCCATGAAGAATGATGTTGCCGCTGCTCCCAGGGAGGGGAGTGGAGATGGGATGAATGGATGGATGGATGGCATTGGGGTGGAGTGTGGCTGGGAGTGTGTGCTGTACTCTGCGGCTCGGCTCTGTCTTTTTCTCACTCACTCACTCTCGGAAATATTCAAGCAAAAATGCACGGCACACGCAAACACTCACACAAACAAGTGCAGAGACATGGTGTGTCTGTGGAAGGTGAATCTGGACTACATCTAAGATAAACTAAACATAAGGTAAGGCGGTGCCAGAATGTCTACTTTATACGGCTTGTAATCTGAATTACTTGCACACAGACAGCAATCGAGCCAATAAGAGAAACACCGCAGACAACGATCGGCGCTGCTTTACCTTTCGTTTGAATATGCACTGCTTGCCCACCTATACAACGAGCAAGAGTGGATGGTGTGTGGCAGTGGAAGAGGGGGCACTCACTTGCTTGCTGCTGACTGTGTGTACATACATACATACATATATTTATATACGGTTTTTTTCGCATTCAACCACAATTTCAGCTCAGCCATGAACATTCATATATCCTCGAAGGGTGAGTGCCTGCCAGCACGTGTGTGAGTGTGTGTGTGTATGTGCACATTTATTAAATATTATTGCTCTTATTTTGCGCTTTACTTGTCTCATGTTTTTTTATTGCCTCATCAATGGGCAAAGTGGGCGGATAACTGGTATCTCGCTGCCACTTCCACTGCCACTTCCCCCTTGTTGCTGCTGATGGTCCTTTGCTGTTTTCTGTTTCCTGGCGGTGCTTACGAGTTCTTGCTGTACTGTTTCTTGTGTCCTTGCAGCGTTTATTAATTTTAATGGCTGCCACCAAATGAATAACGGTTAATCAATAAGTTAAATGTGTCGCCATTTTGGTTGGAGTCAAAGCGAAAGAAAAGGAAAAAGGAGAACAAAAGGAATGGGAACACATTGGGGGAAAGTTTGTCTGCGAAGGAAGGGGAATTCCTACTCTCTTTCTGTTTGTATAAATACACCTGGTTGTGCGTGGTATGTGTTTCCATTTAATTTCATTCTAAGAACTGTTTAAGTAAAGGTTTCTTCATCACTTCTCCCTTCAGTTAATACAAGAGCTATCCTTCGAGACTACCTAAGGCCAGGACTAATATTCAGATACAGAATAAAAGTTAGCCAGAAATGCCTTTACATAAAATAATCATATTTACATACATAATACATAATACATATGTTCCAGTACAAGCAAATTCCATGTTCAGAGTTAAACTTCAACCCAAAAGCGGTTTATGCATCAAATCTATCATAAATCACTGGACAATTATTGCAAATTCTGCCGTCACCCTGCTCCACCCACCCATTCTCCGCCCATTCCCCGCTTAATTTGATGCGCTGTGACGCACCCTGTACCCTACACCTGCAGCCGGAGCTGAACAATCGCATTTTCCACAGTGTTCCCATGGACTTTACGGCGTAATCGCATTTCGGCATTGTCGCTACTTGTGGCACAAATAAACCACCCCGCCGCTTAGCGACTCCTCATCGTCCTCTCATCAAGTGGCACAAATTACAGATCAAACATGCAGCTACTCCAGGCGGATAGGAAGAGGAATGAGGGATGAGGGTTTGGCTGCTGCTGCTGCTCCGTTGTTTTGGGTGACCATTTGTCAGGAAGGTTGACAACATTACGCTGCAAATTAAATAGCGTAATAAAAGGGTGACTTAATTTGTTTTTTTTTTTGTTGTTTGTTCGACTCGTCTCGACTCGAACCGAAGGCAACGCACTTGCCCGCACACAGGATCGAGATGAGCTGCGAACACGTGTTTGTTCTTGCAATAAAATATATATTTCTATATATTTAAAGAGCTTGGGCTTGGGCTACTGCCCGTTGCCTTTTATAGGCCGCCAGTAGAGGATATTGAAATTGTTGGCATTGTCAACCCCCCCGCGACACATCCCGCGTGCTCTGACGACAGTTAAAACGACAATTACGCGTATCTAATAATAGAGCAGGAGAGCTGCAGACGGCGACGGAGTCAGAGACCAGAAACCAAACACTGGAGTAGAGCCAGGGAGAGCTTAGATTTAAGTGGCTGATAATCCATGGGTTGACGCGTGACGGGCTATTCGCTGGTATTTTATTAACAATTTGCCCGATAAAAAGGTTGTTGTTTAATCACAGGCAATAAAACTTCCCACCATTAACGGTATGTACATGGATCAGTTGACCCCTTGATAGATAATCGGTGAATAGTGAATCAAGTGCAGCCATCTTTACCCATTACCAAAAGGAACTACCCTGACCCCCAGAATCTTTATTATCAGCCATCCCCAAAAAACAGTGCTCCCATCTGCAGTTATAAAACAAATCACCAGAGAAACATCTTTATAGGCGCTCTTGTACCAGCTCTAAGGACAGCTCTTCCTCCCTCAATATGGCCACAAATCAGCGCTGAAAAGTATGCTCTAAATTTCACTCAAGTCTTCCCCCAAAACGCACACTAATAAGTTAATCAAACTAATTGCAGCAGCTTGGTGTAGCAGACGGAGCCGAGCCACTTGCCACAAGCCAAGCCGAACAACGGGCGAAAATATTCCAGCTATAAATTCCGCAAATGCCCCCCGTCCCGTCCCAGCAGGCATGGCATGGCATGGGCATGGTCCCTAAGTATGTTGTTAGCAATGAAAAGGGTTGTGCTTCGTTGTGTTGCTGTGTCCTGTGTGTGCACTGGAATTCAGGAGAAGCGAAACTGCTGTGACAGGGAACATGTTAATTGCCACCGTCCTGGCCCTGCGTTGCCAGGTTCAGGATTCGGCTCTCGTTGGCTTCCCGACTCTCCTTCTCCGTTGCTTCTCCGGCTTAGACTTGTTTTACAAAGTTCTTAAAAATTGACGCACGTTTTGTTTCGTTTGCTTTTTAATTAAAAGTCCAAAACGGAAATGGAAAGGGGGCAACAGAGTGGACTATTGTTGGGGGTATGGAGTGCTGGAGTGCGTTATGGTTATGACCATTGGCCAGTTGAGCTCTTTTTAAGCTCTCTAAATTGGCTAAAGAGCTTGGACTCTCTTTTGACATTGGCGGTGACTTGGCAACAATCCCAGTGTGGATGGGTACAGTGCAGGCCCAGGGGCAGGGACATCGTGTGTGGCTACGCTGTTCGTTACATAGGATTCGGACTTTATTCATTAGTCAAGTTTTATCCTCAGCCTGTTGCAGGGAAAGAGAGAAACGTAAACTTACGGCAAAACATAAAAGGTACCCTTGTTTGTGGGAAGCCAACAGAAAAATAAAAGTTTGTTTTGTGCTTCAGTTGCACTTTGAAAGAGTCAATGATTATAAGACATAGGATATAGAATTTCGTTCTTAACCGAATGTAGACATTAATCTACACAAACTAAAAATTACAAACTGTAGTAATAAGAGAAGAGCTACGTTGATACAAGACAAATTAGGAATACGCTGCGTTTCTTACAAATTTTGTCACAACTTAAAAACAAGCTCATATTTGTATGGTTTGTGGTTTTAACCTCCAATTAATAACTATAATTGACTTAAAGACTACTTTAATATAACTGCAAGTATTCATTTCTCATTGAAGAAAAACCGTGGAGTACGCAACTAATATACAACTTTTAGCCGATGAAGGATTCCGGAACGAGTTTGGATGCTCGCTACAACTAAGTAAACATAAACCTGTGCAACTACTTCTACAGTTAGAAACATAATTAAAATTCTTCACTGAAAAGTGCTCCTTGCATTTCCTTAATCTCTAAAAACGAACTAATGAAAAGTTTTCTGTTTTCCTACTAGGTTTTGCTTATTCTTAATTGTAGTCTATTTATTTTTGATTAATCCATTGCCAAAGTAGGCTGTCAGGGCCACCAGGCGCGTATCCAGAAAGTTGTGCTCCACCTCACACTGCTGACCTGCGCCGCTGAGAGCAATCACCTGGCTTATGCTGGTATTGCGGGGCAGAAAGAAGCCGACGTTGTCGGCGAGGCGACGGCCAAGCCCCATCAGAAGGCTGGCGCTTACAGGCAGCAGACTGCGCTCGATGTCAAATGTTGCCTGATTTATGTAGTTGGGACCGCCCCAGGGCGGGCTGAAGAACACCACGTCCGGACGGAGTTTGGTGCTGGCTGCAAGCTGCAAAAAGTCTGCGTGAATGAATTCGATCTTATCGGCCACCCCGTAGATGCGAGCATTGTGCTTGGCCATGGCCAGCTTCTCGGCATCAATGTCGACGGCAATGACGCGAGCGCAGGTGAAAGCGAACTGAATAGCATTGCCGCCGCAACCACAAAAGGCGTCCAGGATCACGTCGCAGGCCAGACGACGAGCCGTCTGCTTGGCAATCTTCTCTGGTGTCACGGAGAACCAGCTCTCGCGATCCAAGCGGATGCCCTGGTCGAAGCGCGAGAACAGCGAGAATCGCTTCCGCCAGTACTTGAACAGCTTGCCTTTGTTCTCCTTTATGAAGTCGGGCATCTGATCTACCAGATCGCTGGTCTTCTTCTTCTTCTTCTTTGGCTTTTTCTTTTTAATGAAGCCGTTAAGCACTGCGTGCAGCGCTTCGGCTTCTGTTTCTGGTTCCTCGTCGCTGGTCATGTCCCAGTTCGCTAAACTGTAGAAATCCTGCTCAAACCACTCCTTTGTTGCGGGCTCTCGACTTTTAGAGTTATTGGACGCTGACAGGCCCATAGGTTTACGCTCCACCTCCTCCTCTTCCTCCTCTTCAAAATCTTCAGCGTTGTCGTAATTGCTGGAATTCTGCTCAACTCTTGGTTGGCGGCGTTTGGGCTGAGGGCCAAACGAGACTGGTAGGCCGAGAAGTTCACGCAGCTTCGCCTCTTCAATATCTTCGGTTTCGTCGTAAATGCTGGATTGAAGTTCACTCTGTTTCTTCTCTTCCATATATTCGGGGTCGTCGTTGCCACTCAAATAGGGCTCATCTTCCGCGAAGATATCTTTCTTTTGGTTATGTGTAGACTCTGGCTGGGTTTCGCTTAAATCTAGCTGCTCCAGTTCTTCATCAACTTCATCTAGATCCTCTGTAGTAATCGGCGCAAAAGATTTCAACAGCTCATGCTGATAGTTCTCAAAGGCGCAGCTGAATAAGTGCCAGAGGCGATTAACTTGGTCTTTTACATGCTCCTCCCAGAGCTGCAGCCAGTGGAGTTTCTCCGCCTCGTCAGCTTCGATAGCCTTGTATTCGGGAAACCTCTTGTTCCACTTCTCCTCCAGCAGCTGGGGGCCCTCGCGCTGCCAGAAATCTTGCCAACTCGACTCCTTTATGCCCTTCCAATTGCAGCTCAGATCGAGCGCATCGCCATCCGTGTGTTCAGCCTCAAAGAGCTGTGTAAATATGTAGAAGTGTGGATTCGTGTGCGATGAGGTCAGGTAGTGTATGTTCATCTCACTGGTTGCCATGTAAACTCAGTTGTTTGATCCGCAACTTGCGATCTAGAAGCTCCTCGAATAGGTCGATGGGCTGTGCGAACCACACGTCGATGGCCGGTATGTGGGTAAGATGCAGCTCCTCCAGGTAGTTCTTGCGCGCAGCCTCGTCACCGGTCATGCCCTCAAGCAGGTTGAACACACCACCTGTCGTCAATGTGGGGCTGTTGGGGGCCTGTAAACTACACAGCACCACCTCACCCCGCACAACGCAGTAGCAGCCGCTCGTCAGGTTCAGTTGGTTGGCCTTTGCGAAGTCTAGCCCCAGGAGAAGCAAGGACAGAATGCCGCTGGGTACAGAAAACTCCCTGAAAGTGGTTAATTAAGAAGTCTAAAGAGATTCACAGCTTGCTTAAGTGTGCAATAGCTTACCTTGGTAAACTCCTTAAACGAACGTTTTCGAGCCGGTATGTTCCCGACAGAACTGTGAGGCGACCAATCACTGCGCACTTTCCGTAGTGCAGCTTCAGGTAGTTGGGTTCCAGCACCAATTCCTCAACGAGCAGGCTCTCAAAGAAACTAACATACGACGGCGACACACTATGGTCGTGTTCTTGGAACATTACTTTGGCCAAAACACTGCAAATCTTAATAAAATAGCCCAATTTGTATGTTATTTAGCGCGTGGGCGAAGTGTTGTGCAGAGCAGAAATCAAAGGAAGCGTTGCCACATCAGAGGAAACAAGAGCGATTCATCGACAGTTCTCGTCTTACTGCCATCATTTCCCTGACCATATATGTAGACACGGGAGAGGATTTGCCTGACCATCATATGAAAAATTCAATACAAATTTGTAAAATATAAGGTCATAAGGTATACCACTCTTATTAAGATTAGTATTCATAAAAAGCCAAATTGATTCTTTAACCAGATTTAATTATTGTTTCAGTGTTAAAAGTCTTTTCAAGTTATTAAAATAAAATAGAACATAAAAATCGAGGAATAGATAAAAGACTACGGTATATTTACGGTAAATGTGCGTCTCGAAGTCCCAGGCCTCTGCCAACGTCGCAGCTACAAGTGTGGCGGGTCGCGCCCGAGCAGGGGTGTGACCAGGATTCCGCGGGCCGGGGAATGGTAATTTTGGCCCATCTACGAGAAGCCAGCCGATACAATTTATGCCCTATGGATTTTAAAAATATTGAATCTGGGATTCATTTTCCCTTTGGACTGGACTCACTTTTTATTTCGATTCGGGTAAAAGGGTCCTCTACGTTGGCCGGTCTTTCTTTTTCCTAAACGGTCACACACACAAAACTCACTAACACTGCCGATGTCTATTTTTCCACTGCCGGCATGTTCAGCGTAGCTACTCTACGCAGTCCCCCTTGCTGCAGTTGATCTCATCTCTTCTACTGCCCTTGAACCAAATTCAAGGGCATAGCATGGCATTCTTGAGGGTGTGGGTGAGCTGGCTCGTGGATCCCGCAATATTCCCCTCCTTTACATTCTCCCGCTCTCTCACCGGCACCGTTGATCGCCTTGCCCCTTCGCCTATCGACCTATCAACCTCCAAAAAAATACTACCAAATCTAGTATTTTGCATATCGCTCTCCTTCGAATGCAACACCTAGCGAAAATTCAGGCGTGCCTGGACGGAAGAATTATTCGCAAACACTCGAAGGACATTGAAACCTAACGCTTGCCCTAAGGTCTTGCAGCGCCCAACGTAGGCTCACACCCACTCGGTTTGTACATGAGTGCCCTATTCTTCTTCCCTTCTCCTTCTAAAGCTTTCCCACTACAATTTCAGGTCTTTGGCGTGAAAAATCCCCACCGGTTTCCCCGCCAGGTCTTCAAGTTCGTAGGCATTATTTCCAACCGGACGTACGACTCGGCACTTCAGGAACTTCCGGGCGAATTTGGCGTTGTAGCTCTTCCCAAAGTCACTGAGGGTGAAGTTGCGTCTGTATACTTCTTGCCCAGGTTTGGCGAAAAATATTCGGGCCCGTTTGTTGTAGCGCTGGCTGCTGCGCTCGTACGCTTGGTGAAGGTTGGCCTTGATACGTTCCCGGATGATGTGGCACTTATCCGCGGGGTTCAACGCGTGCACCTCATGCTCCGTCAGCGACTGCAGCTTCCTCGCCAACTTATAGCAGTTCCCATTAAGGAACATTTGCTGTCCAAAAACTGCAAAAAACGGCGTCACGCCTGTGGCTTCGTGCACTGAGTCACGGATCGACACTTCAATCTCCGGTAGGTACATATCCCAGTCTCGATGATCCTTCTCTAAATACGTCCTGATTGCAGCTAATATTGTCCGGTTCACCCTCTCGGCGGCATTGCTCTGTGGTGAGTAGACTGCTGTGCGCAGATGTCGGGCGCCGAAGGTGCTCATCATGTCCTGGAAGATCTTCGACAGGAACTGCTTTCCGTTGTCGGAGTGGATCACCTCGGGCACCCCAAACTTGTAGAACACTTCCTGTACTAGGAATTGAACTACGTTCGCAGCGGTCGCCTCTCTCATCGCTCTGAGAAAGGTGAATTTAGAGAAGTGATCTACGACGACAAAAATCCAAGCTTGTCCCCTTTTCG